TTAATTTGTAATTTAATAAATTATGAGTTGAGTGAAAATAATCGATATTGAAAATAAACTAAATTTGTATAGTTTATATTTGAAACAAATATAACTTACGACAACTTATATTTATTTTCAAATATGAATTATACGGTGTGGGTATCAGTATTCTTGTTACTCACACCCACATCCTCACTTCCTTGCAACTGTGATAATCTATTTGTTTTTCTTCATATAAATCTGAATTATCGTCTCGATCTTTCTTTGTCTTCTTTCAAACCTTATATATACCATTGATGTAAGGTTAACACAATCACAATTATATATTTTATTTTTTTCAAGTCAAGGAAATGCATACGCCATCAGCAACGTTAGCTCTACTTTTCGTGCTTACCATTTCTTCTTGGCTAAGTGCTGTAGACGCTGTCTGTGGAAGCTACAATCCAACATTCTATACCTGCTGCAATGGTGTACTGATTTCTGGAGGTGGACAATCATGTTGTGGCACAGCAGCCTACAATCCAACATTCTACACTTGCTGTGGTGGTCTCCTGGTTTCTGGAGGCGGACAATCATGCTGTGGCACAAAGGGCTACAATCCAACATTCTACACTTGCTGTGGTGGTCTCCTGATTTCTGGAGGCGGACAATCATGTTGTGCCACAGCAGCCTACAATCCAACATTCTACACTTGTTGTAGTGGTCTACTAACTTCTGGAGGCGGACAATCATGTTGTGGCACAAAGGCCTACAATCCAACATTCTACTCTTGCTGTAATGGTGCAGTTGTGTCCGGATCAAGTTCAGCATGTGGAAAATAGGCTATCATTCACAACTTCATGAACAAACATTGACAGAATTCTAAAGATAGGACTACGGAATCTCTACTTTGAAACGCTTTGTTTTTCAGCAATTCGTTCTATTAATTATCTATTCCATATAATACTTTTTATCTGTTCAACCGTCTCTTCTATGTGTTATTCTATCTCTTTTCCGTGTTCTTTGTGTAAGATTGATTTCTCTCATTCTCTTCAATCTCTTAGTCTCTTCTATTTATGAGTGAACCTTGAACCTAGATAGTTTGTTTTAATGTTATTTGTTCTATTTTGCTTTGGTCTATAATGGCTTCCATTTTTTATATTAATCAAAAAAAAAGACGAGCCTTCATATTCATAAACAATGTTCTGGTTTTCAGTTGACTCAGGTATGTGTCGAGATGAAATTGCCGTTATATGACTCAGATAACAGGGAAGATTACGTTGATACTCCTAACTTCTTGTTCTGAAAGAGAAAAAGTCTCACGCATCCTTTATTTTTTCAGCGTATTTATCTTTTAATGCAATTATAGGCAACTTGCGCATCTCTTATATTCCAAAGTCACACATTGTTCAAGACTTTTTAAACTTAAACATTGGGTTTAGTTTTCATTGTAAATCTTTTTCAGCCAAGTTTAACCTGTAGTTTTGTTCATACAAAAAGGAGAGAACTAGATGTTAGCTGTGTGCTACGCAAAGATCGGAAACCGAGTGAATGAAACAATGAGTATGGATGTGGGTTAGATTCCTTAATCGGCTCCAAATAATTTTTCTGGACTCAGTCAAAGAAATGTAAGCTGCTCGATCAAGTTCTGTACTAACACACTACTCTAACATGTATCTTGTAGGAAAACATTTTTTCTTTCATCTCATACATTTAGAAAAGTAATTGACATTATTTTATTCTCTTCTTTTGTTTTATTTTATTTTTTATTTTTGATTTTTAAATTAAAAATTAAAAATTTGAATTAATTTAATTTGATTTGATATTAATAGTTTATTTAAATTTAAAATTTACAAATTGTGACGTTTCGTATCTCGATAAGATACTTCATCAGACATGAAAGTTAAGACAAATGACATGTACATACAAACAAATTTTCTTTTTTCTTTTCTTTTAGTATTAGTCATACTTTTGATAGTGATACGGAAAACAAGACGGTAATAGTAATAGCTAGCTAAGGATTGAATCCTTTTCCGTATCACTATCACCGTCTTGTTTTTCGTTAAGTTTTTGTTCTTTTGTATTT